ATTTGTACGTATTTTGTGTGGTTTTGGCGTTCATGTCAGGAAAAGAGTACTAATATGTACGTATAAGAGAGTATTGTATGTAAGGAGAACTGGGATATCATATAATGCATAATGAGGTCACAACAGGTCACTTGAGGATATGCAAGGTCAATGATCTCTGTTGCCAGAATTGGAGAGGCAAGATGAACGAGTGCAACGTGTGTAGTCGCCTTTATATCGTGTTTGTGAAGCTGATGACGTATAATTCCATGTGAAAACGTGCCTATTCTCAGTTTGTTACAAATGCATTACCAAGGATCGAAGGGACCATATCTTATGTATACAAGAGCCATGCTGACTTTGAGTACCTGTATATGAAAAAGGCACTATTTCTGGCCACAAAAAACACTGCTGGTCACTTGGATCCGGATGGCATTTTAAATTTTAAATTTGGGTCGCTGGTAGGATATGTGAGTCTAGAATACTTTCTCCCGCAGCTGCGCCTAACGGAATAAACTTGTGGAAGAAAACAAGTATGGTTCTTGTAGGCTACTGGTAACAACTTTTGAAGGGTGACATGACCTGACCTTACCCTTGCGAGGGATACAAATGGTCAGAATGAACTCTTCACAGTCTTAACGCTTACTTTTCCGCCCTCAAACTCGGTCCTGACATGTTAACATATGTTTTAACCGCATCTGTCAGAACGAACGTGTTGCTCTTCCGTAACCTGTGGTGATCTCAGATTTGGCCTAGGCCAAATCATGTGGTGCGCATTATCCATAATTTCACGAGAACCCTGCAAAGGCATTTCATTTTTATTTTACGACGCCTGGAAGTTGGGATCCCAGGGGAGTTAAACCTCCCCCGGCTGAGCGCGGTTGTATTTGTAGTTGTATTTGACATCAGCTGACATCCCACATATATACGTGGCTATAACATATTATTAGTGTGAGAGACGAGACAGTACGTTAAAAAATGACGGAAAGTGATAAGGGATAAAAAGCACATAAATGCCTGCACGCATAAACGGTATGAGACAACCCTATCGCACAAAAAAGACCTGACAACGCGCCTGAAACTTGTTGAATCCAGTCGTCTAGCATCCACAGGCAGCTCATTCATGAAAGACGCCGCTCGGTACGCAGAGGACCGCTGTGCTGCCGCCGTGTTCCGCGCACGGCGGGAGCACAGCGGTCCTCTCGGGCTCCGAATGAACGCAGGTTAATATCTGTGTTTCGTGTCCAATTTTCTCTCTGAAACGACCACCATGATTTTAGTTAGCTCTTACACCACATATGGTGTGCTGGTTGCAGATGTAATTATAAGCGTGTCATCAAGCATTCAGTACAATCAGAGGCTTCTGCTAGGATAGTTAAATTGTCCAGGGAATGATGGCATAAGTGGGTTGAAACAAAGCACTTTATGACAATGGTATCAATTTATAAAACGCACGCAGACTCATAGCTTAAGATATAAGTTGTTATATTGTTAGACGGCAAACGCAACATTCTAGCTTTTGGCGTTTTCAGAGAGTTGGGAGTAGCATCGGGTCCTTAAAAATACCAAAAAATGTAACAGAATTAGCTTCACCTTCCGTAAGCTGTTTAACTGATTTCACGTTATCAACTTTAACTTGACATTGATATTCTCGGGAACGGACTAGCAATTTTTGGTTGGCTTTGACCACTTCTGGTCTAACAAATAGGAAGGAAAGTGTTTGGGAGAGAGACAGTCTTAGAGACAGATATTGTCGACATTCACACATCGTCTATTGCACACTGTGCATGAACTGAGATCGAGCCGTGACAGTGTTCGAACCCAACAGGGTTCCGACAGGGTTCCAACGCGCGCCGCAACACGCAGTACAACGACAAGCATGTCAGTGCATGGTATTGAGCTCGTGCGATCTTAGACCTCATATACTAGCTAACCTGATCGGTCCAGCGAAAAACATCTGTTACCTACCATGTGCAAAAATACGGGGCATTTTCTCATGGGTATAAATTTTCACTGCTGCTTGTTACCTATTTCGTTCTTCACTAAGTGAATACCAGTCAAACCATTACAAACATCCATGGTGCTTACAACAAATAACAACACATACGACACGAAACTTAAGTAGGCGCAGCGAAAATGCACCCATTTCCGTAGACGAACTACGCTTGTTTGCATTGCTTGCACCATTATGACATAGGACGAATGGCACCAGCATATTTCACCGTGTTTACGCACATTTTCCCGTGTCATCACTTGGTAAATACTATCAACTGGGCGGATCTATAAACGTCATGAAACTTTTGTGCTGTGGTACTAATTTGATGTTTTCAGCACGACCCAAGGAACGCATCCAAACACCCAGAACGGAATGAGGCCGGTTGGGGGTATTACTTGGCTTCCAAGGGACTCGACCCCTGTCTAGCGTGTCCCGGTCGTCTGCATGGCCACTGCGGTCCCTGCTGACCTGCGAAGCCTGCACGCCAACGCGTCCCATGCAACATTTCTTACCCCATCATCACTTAACGTAGAAACATTTTCAATGAATCATTTCATAATGCAAGGTGAAATTAAATGGGACTTGGGACGAACCGGTCGCCCGTTTGGCCGTCCCGGTGGCTTAATTGGTTAGAGCGCCTGCCTCCCGATCCACCCACCCGTGGCGGGTTGGGTTCGAGTCGCTTTAGGGCGCTCGCTATTTGCCCTCGACAGGCATGGCCTGCGGCCGGTGGCAGCGGTCGCGCTAAAGGTCAGTTGACTTCGGAGGGCAGGACGGACCGTGCCGAGCATCATGACACGTTAAGCCTTCGCCACTTAATTCTGCCGTTTGCCTGGAATTGCGCGATCGGATAGTGGGGGTCAGGGCTCACACAAACAAGCACTGCTTAGCGTAAGCACTGATCCCAGAAATCCATCCATTCAAAGGGTTCGGATCCAACTGATAAAAAACCGATACGACTAGGCATACCAAATTGGAATTTCCAAACACCCTCAGCAACCATAAAAAGTGAGAAAAAATTATCAGGCGAACACCCCACTTGTACCTGCAGGTCACAAAATCCCTTGTTCCAGAGGTGTCATCCCTTTACCCAACTCAACGTGTCATGTCTTGGGCCTCCCCGCATTCTCTCCTTGTCATCGTCTTTGTCAAAATGAAAACCGTGATAACTGCGAGACGCCGCCACTCAGTTGCGAATGCATCTGCTGCTAAAAATGATATTAAACAATACTGTTGCTGTTAAACCTGCCAAGCCAGATGAGGCTGTTTATATTAATGCACATGATCTGCATATATATATATATATATATATATATATATATATATATATATATATATACATATATATTTATTTATTTATTCATTTATCTGTGTATGTGTGTGTGTGTGTGTGTGTGCCTATCGACACCTTGGAATGCTTCTTTACTCGTAGAATGCATTTGACTTCAGCCGAGTCTAGCCAAATGTCAGCAATCGTTCAAAGTCAAAACACACCGTGTTGCTTGGCTGCGAAATCTGCAGTAGATTCTGCAGCCGCCAGTTTTTGCTAACTAGATGCGCCACATGTATGTCTGCAGACCCGTAAAACGCGGCTCAAAAAGAGCTCGAGGAGATATCTCTACTCCGCAGCAAATGAGATCTGCAAAATCAGCGATCGGCTCTGCGGTCGCCAAGTTTTGCGAACAGAAGAGGCACCACTTCAGGTCCGTATACTCGCGCTTGGCAGGTCTGCAGGCTTAAAATGACACTTCTAGCCCACATCAATAGACTAACGAGCAGAATTCGCGACCGGATTCTTCAGCCAATCCGGAAGGTGTGAACTGGCCTACGGACACGACCACGACTACGGACATGGACTGTCCTATAGGCGGTCATGTCGGTATCCTATAGGCGGCCATGTCGGTCGCAAAATATTCGTTTGCAAAAATGTGTACCCTTAGTCACACGGACTGGTTCCATGTTTAAGCAAATGCGCATGTATGGAAATATTCCGAGGATATTTATGTACACCTCAACATCTTGCAACACTCTGGAGTAGCATTACTTTCCTCAACTTGTACAAAATCGTCGTGAATTCTTTTAAGATAGAGTGCTCTTGCACAGACCGATTTTTGCGCCCGTGCCTAAATGATTTTCCCCACTTCTGCCACAGTGGTTGTTGTTAAAAGGAAGCCATCAGGGCTCCGCTCGAAAGAGATGCCCATGGCGTGTGTCGCACAATGAAGCATACGCGAATAATCTAAGTTTCCGTGTGAGCTCTAAGTGATCCCCTGGGGCACTGAGAACTGGCCTCTTTTGTTCGTAATGTGAATGTAGCCATTGCTATGCCGAAAACCTGGGGATTACTTAGGTCAATGAACCACGCGACATGGACTCTGATATTGCATGTGATGTCGGATTGCACCGCGCCTCCTTAGCTGCTGCCTGAGCAGCCGCAATATCCACGGGTGTTTTACGAAAGAAAAGACTGAGTGAAGTCCGTGGCGTGGACTATAGATCAGTTTCCTCCGTCTCGCACAAATTGTTTGGAAGCAAAGTTTTCTCATGCAGTAACTGCAGGTAGTTGGTTCGGCATGTGGAATAAGTCCACCGGTCAGCAAGCAACTCCACGAGGCTGTAAACAGACTATCTCACTGCAGATCATGATGGTTGCAAAACACTCCAATACACATATGGGTACTATGAGTCACGTGACTAGCACCTCATCTTAAACAAGTGGTCCCAAGCTTCCTTAAACATCTACAGCGTGTTACACTCTGGGACAGGTACGAGTGTTGGTCGCGACCTGCACATCAAACCGTGGCGTCACCACCGGACTTAGAGTTTGGTGCCTCTCTTTGTATCAGCAAGATCGAGGGGCAAACGTCTCCATCATACCACCGTGTTAATCGTCGCCCCATCTTTGCTCAGCGTATGAAATTCCCTGTTCATCAGACTTGCAGGCTGGCTTAATCCTGATTGTAGAGGTCACGGTTCATGAACTCAGGCAGCTGGTTGGCGTCAAAGAAGCCTGGGGTGTTGATCTCCAACGCGCGGCTGATGCCTCCCACCTTCTCCAGCAGCCAGTAAGTGGGCATTGAGCCCTTTCCCTGCAAACAGAGCTGCCTTGTGACGGAAGCCATCCGCACACACGTCTCGGCCATGTCTTCTTTTCTGGGGAGCACCCGAGATGCTAATCCCACGTTTTTCCTCCGCCAAAGGGACACCGTACCTCATTGGTATGCTTGACGTAAAATGCTAGGAACTGGATGCGATATTTGCACCACCCTGTTTTTCATCTTCATGTGGCACAACTGACGTGACATTTTTCCTTGCACAAGAAACCAAACATTTCTACTGCCTTCACTGCTGCAGGTAATTCTATAAGTAAGACAGTAGTAATAGTCTCACTCCTCGGAGAAAAACCAGGAGAATGGAGATATAGGGGTGCTGATATTTCGGCAACGTGCCTTTATCGAAACAATAACATAAGTGAATGAGGCTATTACTACTGTCTTATCTATGTAAATAATTTTCCTCGCAAATACACCTAACAGCTTACGAAAATGGAAAACGATCAATAGATGACATGTAAAATGGATGTGGTGAAATCGTCCGTATGTCGCATTTGTTTTCATTTTGGGATATATTTAAATCACCTAGCACACAATAGGTCAAAAGCACTTCCGCCGGTAGACCCTACCCCTTTTAAGTTCAACGCGCTAGCACTCACAGGGGGTCCTCCAAATGAAAGCACATAAATCTTAACTGGCTTGTTCCTACGCTCAGTGATCATATTCTTATGACAGAACTTGAGTGGTTCGCAGGCATCTCTTCCATCAAAAAGCTATTCCAACCCATCTCTTCCGTCAAGGAGCTTTTCAACCCATATCTTCCATCAAGCAGCTTTTCAATCCATCTTTTCCGTAGAAAATCATCACGAATTTCCTTTACCCGTCATGTTTGAAGGGCTTTGTCGCAATACATGTAACAGAGCAAGTCTGAGATTAACGTGCGTGTCAGTGGCCGAGATATAGTACCTGCCCTCACATCCGTGTTCAAATATTGAGTTTTGTCTAGCACAAGCCACTGGCGACCACTTCTGGAAAGTCTTTTCAAGTCTTTTAAATCTGTGGGCAAGTCTGCTGAAAAGCATGCTGAGTGCCAATGCATCCTGCGCCCAAAAACGAGTTTCCATGTGTGGTAATCGGTGCTGCCCTGTCATGACTATATCACACTGCCGCAAGCCCGTGTGCTGGGAATCGTACCGAACCGAAAGGGAGAGCTCACCTTGATTTCGACATCCTCTCTAAATTCAAGCTTATATCCGCCAGTCTTGGCCAGGAGCTCGTGCGTGGTGTCGCTGACGTGCACCATTTGTGCTGGAAAATGGAAAGTGTCCCGACAATGCATTCAGACGCTGGGCACGCTTCCAATGAGCAATGCGTCTGAAAAATGAGTACCTTTATGAGAAATAGAGTGCACTGGCGTTTGCGTCAGTTAAGCATCGCGACTCAAGTCATCTGCAATATGCAGTACATTTTCCAAATACAGCATATAATTACTACATGTCAAAGAGTCGAAACAGACGCAAGTTAGCATTCCGTGAAGCTCCTTACTCAACGCGCACTTCTTCCACATTCGCATAGAAACATCGCAACAACATAACCCAACTCAACCCGTGCAAAAAAGGCCAAGCCGTCAACCTGGCGCTAAACCAAGGACACCACGATGAACGTCTTGTCAACTCACGAAGTCCGGTCGACTCCATGCGCGATGCCACGTTGATGGTGTCACCAAACAGGCAGTAACGAGGCATCTTGGTGCCCACCACACCTGTCGGAGGTCACCGGCAGCACGGTCAGAGGCAGAGGGAGCCCAGGCGCGGAGTCGGCAGCGTTGGACGCCAAGACAGGACGGAAAACGCTCAGCTAGAGGCTCAGGGACTGGGTCAGTGCATTCCTGACATGCCATTCGGGTCACGACATGACACGCATCGAACTGCCAGCTCATTAACCACCTCCGTCTATATCGAACACAACCACCTGCAGCTGAAGTAACACATACCCCACGAGGCCACCATAATGCATTAATATGGGCTGAGTGGATCAGCGGTGACATTTGACTAAATTTGTGCCTAAGAGTTAGCCTCAGAGTTAGCCTCAGAGTTAGTCTCAGAGTTACGCTGCAGTCAGGTTGCAGCACTGACACCATGTTCATCGAAGAGTAGGACGTATGGGTCCATCGGCGTATTCCTTCGGTCCTACAGCAGGCATCAAAGACTTCACGTCCAATATTTTCCAGCTTGAGGGGAAATGAACTCTGGCTGCTCCGCCGCATCGATAGGGCACCCATTTGTAAAAAGCTTTTAAGATGCAAATGAGACAAGTCCGTTATTTCTGTTCTTGAGAGTTAACTAAGCAAGCTGCGGTGAAAATTCAAAGAAACGTCTTTGCATCCCGAAGCACTTGTGGAACACTGCTGACTTCACAACGAAATAAAAATCCCTTGTGATGTACTGCAAAGGGTAGCTAACAAGTGTAACCTAACCACATGACCAATTTTCAAGAACGGTTAATTCATTCCTAACAAAAACGTAACGCTGACATCTCATGGAAAAATAGTAGTTATATACATACACATACACACACACACACACACAACACACACACACACACACACACACACACACACACACACACACACACACACACACACACACACACACACACACACACACACACATACACACATACACACATACACACATACACACATACACACATACACACATACACACACATATATATATATATATATATATATATATATATACATATACATGCATATATGTATGTATATATATTTTTATACATATGCAAGCTCGTCGATGCCTGTTTGGGGGTGCGCACCCCTCGACAGTGTCACCGCGCCACGCCAGACGTACCTGCCACGCACGGCCCCGTGTTGAGGCCGATCCGTATCTGCACCAGCTGGCCTTTGATGTGCGGCACCTCGAACTTCTGGATGCCTTGCAGCAGGTCGAGCGACATGTCAGCCACTTCACTCGCATGCTGATCACCTGCAGTTGTGGCGTGCGGACGGTTCTGGTTACCTTAACTGCGTTTGTAATCGGCTTCACGCTGCCCGACCGCACCCCAGCCTCGGCACGCCGTGTGCACTGCCGGGGCCAGGAGACCACCGGATGCTCGCTAAGTGAGCCTAACAGCTTTCCCGGCGAGACACGCGCTACGGTGCAGCTTACACAACCTTCGGAGGCGTGAGCGTCCGGTACAGGGGGGCAGATAGGTTCCTCGCTGTGCCGGACCTGGCTGCGGCCGCATCCGGACCAGCCGCCTCGCGCTCGGCAGGCCTTCAGCGCCTCCCGACCCGAGCCAGGTCAACGAGGTTCCTCCCTGTGCCGGACCTGGCTGCGGCCACATCCGGACCAGCGCTCGGCAGGCCTTCAGCGCCTCCCGACCCGAGCCAGGTCAGCGATCCGGGCAGGAGGCTACCGGCACCAGCTGACCGGCTCTCGCGCGCAGAGCGAAGCGCCGGTGGGCGCAGCGCATCACACTGCAGTGACGGCGGATGAAAGCACTGCTGGCGAGATGATTGGAAATGGCACAGTTCGCTGTGGAAAGGCCTATATATGCACTGTTTCCGGTTGGCATGCCTTGGAAAGATCTTCAGCTGCATGAGCTGGCACCAATAAGGTTATGAGAAGGCAAGCATGGCAGCCATCGTATGTTTGAACTTTGCTTACCTTTCGAAAATCTGGCTGCATGTTTAGTATTATATGAAAGTAGCGCCAAATTCAGAGACCACAAAAGCGATGAATCCTGACGGTGATCACATCTTACGAACATTGGGGGATAAACCATGTACTCCGTTATAGGCATGTTGGCTATAACGTTACGTGTCACACATCACACGGAACGTTTGGGGAGACTCCGTTCGTCCCCATTTCAGCCTGGCGCGATACCGAAGTTGGCTTTGGTTGGTTAGAGCGTCCGGCTTCAGCACCCCTGCCCCCCCCCCCCCCCCCCCCTGTGGCATGGTGAGCTAAAGTCACTTTAGGCGCTCGCTGTTTGTACCCGACTAGGCTGGCCTGCAGTCGGTAACTCCTGTAATTCCTGTAAAAGAGCGCAAAAAAGGACTCTGCTGCGCATGCCAGCACGTTAAGCTATTACCAAAAAACGCTGCTAACACGAACGCTGGCCCAGAAATTCATCCGATCAAATGGTTTGGATTATATGTGTTAGAACATAAATGTTATCGAACGCTCACTCAGAGTTTACTTAACCGTCCAGACGTCCGTTGCAAAGGGATCTTACAGATTTGGTGCTGAGATAAGTTAAGCTAAAGCCTTGCAAAGTACGGGTCTTTGACCTTCCAAAGAATTGCAAGGAAATCAATGTTTCGGAACTGCTTTGTTGAACTACAATTTGTGCAAGCACCATGCAAACCCGGCGGGACAGCATCCATAACGATATAACTGTTTACTAATCCACCCTATGACTTTAAAAGGAAGACTCACGTTTGAAGATATTCGGGCACCCATTAAACATGATACAATAAGCTCCTTTACAACTTCTGGATTATTTAGTGTGCAAAAGACTGCTCTAGATGACAAACGTTCACTACCTATTAGATATGTTCCTCAGCACATCACCGCTTGATTACGTCATGGAACGTCTTTGTGACGCCAGAGCCGCTACCACACTGGCTGCGCCAGAATTGCCACTACCGTAGATGGGCTGACTCACTGTAGTACTTAACCGGACGGGAGGTGATGGCGTTTGTTACTGCGTGTTTGTTGAACCCCAATATCGCTATGTGCTTGTGTTTTGGCAATTTCTAGTGGTGTTGTGTACCTGTCCATGACGTTATATTTTTACTGGCATCCGCGTAGACAGTATTTCACTATATATCACGTATATAAGGCAGTCACGTATTTCCGTCATGACAAGGACCGATGCCCAAATTCCTATAATATGCAGCACAAAACACTAATCGTGTCCGAAACTTGTGCCCAACGGATACAACAAGATGAAGGTCAGAGAATGTTCGTTGGTGTCATGCATCGTGCTGACATGCGGCAAACACGAATAATTCGCTAATCATATTTTTCTTAATCTTGAGAACTACATAGCTATTGAGGCGGAGACTTCGCGTGACGTTTCCATGGCGTCGTACATGCCTAGGTGACCTTGAAATAGTCTGCACAAGTTTGCAGGCAACAAGCTAAAAAAACAAGGAAGTCTTAAGCATGAAAGATGGCACGGCTATGCACTGCACTTTATCATTTAAAAAGCAGTTGCATCGGTTCAAAACACATACAAATGCGGAGCACTCTCTCTGCGGTTTGCAGTATGCGGGGCGATCTACATCAGACACGTAATGATTGTACTATATCGCCCTTGACTCAAGCAACATTGCTGGCAAGATCAGAATGAATGTGATTTATGCATTATTAATGCAAGATTGCTAGCTTCTGGGCATTTCAGCCACCTTAACAGGAATTAATCCTCGTCCCGGAAATATGTTTCGTCAAATTTACTCCATGATGATGGACCTCAAGAGGTCCTATCAATCTAAAAAAAGCTCAGCGAGCTAGAGCCACACGGAAAACGACATTGTGAAGCTCTCGCAAAACTGCATCAGATAGATGTGGCTGAACGGCGATGAGCGTGATCTTTGGAAATTCAGATCAAGTCAGAGTGGTCGAATAAGCACTTTGAAGACGTCTCCTATTACCGCAAGAACCAAACATGCTACGAAAATGCAGAATTGCCACTACGTCGTTGAATAGCTCTTAATAAGCCTTATGACATGGGCGCTAGTAGACATCAAAGATGACCTACGATATCATGTCAGGCCAAAGGGCGCATGCGACTGTCGTGCTGGACCGTCCGGCTGTAAAAAAGTAAGCTAGCTAAGTTAATGGGGGAAAAGGCATGAGAAAGCCTTTCAAATCTGTAACATATGTGATAACAAGTAACAAATTGCATTGCATTGAAAAGAGGAAGTCACGTCACAGAAGTAAAGTTTTGACTTAGCTTGAACTTGGATGAACCGACCTTTCAAAAACAGCCAGAACGATATTAATGTGCTTAAGCATGATCAAATTTATGGAAGCAGTCCATGCAAGTTGGGCACAGAGCAATTCCTGCAATAAACAAGAACACGTTATTGGTCGCTTTTGAGTGCAATGAAATCAAAGTGACCTCGAGAAAAACGTCATAGATATAATCTGTTCACATCATGAGCTTCTAGCTTTCACACCAGGTATTAATCGCATTAACCCAGAAGCAAAACGGTACCGTGCTCAAAAGTCTTTAAAATTGTTCTGGGAAAACCTCGCGGGGAGGATGGCCTTGACCCTTTGTAGGGGCGGGGTTTAAAGTATGGTGTTTCAAACGTCCAGGCTACTTGATGGAATCCATCTGAAGTTGCTATTGATTTTGCTGAAAAAATTGTTCAGTGAGAGATTTGTATGATTTAAATTTGTAGCCCATGTTGTCCTTGTGTAGTATTCAAAGTGGTGTCATTTATCGTTTTGTCTCTTTTCTTGCTTTCAGCCTCAATTCGGTATTTAAAGGACCCTTTCCTGACTGTTGTCTCTTTGTCGCTTTCGGTCCGTCAAATTCGTGTGGAATATGAAATTATAAATTCAATCCCGTCGTAAACCGTGTCGTAGTAAAGCTCTGACGCCATCAAACCTGATTCGCAAAAATTGCAACCTGCGGATTTGTCCTTAACGCTTAGATTGCTAGTTCTTACAAGTGAGTAATAAAATTTGTTTTGTAACTTCTCTCTCTCTCTCTCTCCTCTCTTCTCTCTCTCTCTCCTCTCTCTCTCTTCCTCTCTCCTCTCTCTCTCTTCTCTCTCTCTCTCTCTCTCTCTCTCTCTTTCTCTCTCTCTCTTCTCTCTCCTCTCTTCTTCTCCTCTCTCTCTCTCTCTCTCCTCTCTCTCCTCTCTCTCTCTCTCTCTCTCTCTCTCTCTCTCTCTCTCTCTCTCTCTCTCTCCTCTCTCTCTCTCTCTCCTCTCTCTCTCTCTCTTCTTCTCTCTCTCTCTCTCTTTCTCTCTCTCTCTCTCTCCTCTCTCTCTTCTCTCTCTCTCTCTCTCTCTCTCTCTCACTCTCTTTCTCCCCCCTCTCTCTCTCTTTCTCCCCTCTCTTTCTCTTTACATTACGATGCCCGAAACAGGTAAGTATCACAAACAGAACATCGTTAGCTTATTGACAATGAAGTGTCCTACCATCGACAGTGCAATTTATATTAAGCTCTCGTTTGCACTTACATGCACGGTGGTAAGTCATACAGCTCTTGGATTGTATTCCTTGGGTTGGTCGACACCAAAACGAACAACCCAGCAAATAAGGCAAATTGGAGTATTTTGATAATTAACAAATAACACTGCACATTTAAAAGCTAACATCACCCGATTTACGCGTGTGCTGCACTTGCTATCTCGTGGGCCCAGGTAAGTTCCCGCTGATACAATAAAGGAGGAAATGAAAAGAGAGACTGACTTCGCAGAGTGAATTCAACCAAATCGTATAATTCCTGTGGCCAACGAATGCCGTTGCAAATATAAGATGAGCTGGATTCATTACAACCGATATTGGCCTCATGTTAGTAATCATTCAGTCGCCACCTTCGAGTCGGAATGAGGCAGGGGCTAGGCACGTAATGGTTTGTATGAGCTACGTCCTGCATCTCACCTTTCACGGAACAGGTGAGATGACGCAAGACCAGCATGAGTCATTGGAGATGACGTTGGTACTGCTGTAGAGAATGTTAAGGCAAGATGTGTATCCGAGATGATGTGATCCTCTAGAATGTTTGCGCGCAGGCTCGCGAGTGGGTTACAACATGTGGCTAACGCGGGGTAAATTTCCCACGTAGCATAAATCTGCCTAGACTGCATTGAGAGGTGCTTATATTTGCCGTTTGTTTGTTAAAAATTGCTCATAAATACGGACAACCGGTTGAATACCAGCAGCTGGTAACATCGCTGAAATGCGAAGAAGGATTCGGCGTCGGGGACTATCGCAGAATGGCTACAGCCGGTGTT